ATCAGTCTCGCCAGTCTGCAGGCCCACCGGCACCTATCAGCCTGCCAGGCTGCAGGCCCGCCAGCGCCTATCAGTCTCGCCAGTCTGCAGGCTATCGTGCCTACCAGTCTTGCCCGGCTGCAGGCCCCCAGCGCCTACCAGTCTTGCCGACTGCAGGCAACAGCGCCTATCAGTCTTGGCAGTCTGCAGGCCATCAGTGCCTATCAGTCTCGCCAAGCTGCAGGCTCATCATCGCCTATCAGTCTCGCCAGTCTGCAGGCCCTTCAACGCCTATCAGCCTAGTCAGGCTGCAGGCCCTCAGAACCTCAGTCTCGCGACTGCAGGCCTAGCAACGGCAGCCTCGCCCGCGTCGGCTGACCATGCTCCAGCGACGCGGCCGCTCCTAGTCCCCGACTGCAGCGCCTTCCGCTGTCGAGCCGACGTCGCCAGACTGCAGGGTCTCATGCGCTGTCCGCCCGCCAGTCTCATCGACTGCAGGCCCCTCAACGCCTATCAGCCTAGTCAGGCTGCAGGCCCACCAGAACCTCAGTCTCGCGACTGCAGGCCTAGCAACGGCAGCCTCGCCCGTGTCGGCTGACCAGGCTCCAGCGACGCGGTCGCTCCTGGGCCCCGACTGCAGCACCTTCCGCTGTCGAGCCGTCGTCGCCAGACTGCAGGGTCTCATGCGCTGTCTGCCTATCAGCCTAGTCAGGCTGCAGGCCCACCAGAACCTCAGTCTCGCGACTGCAGGCCTAGGAACGGCGGCCTCAACCGTGTCGGCTGACCAGGCTCCAGCGACGCGGTCGCTCCTAGTCCCCGACTACAGCACCTTCCGCTGTCGAGCCGACGTCGCCAGACTGCAGGGTCTCATGCGCTGTCTGCCTGTCAGTCTCGTCAGACTGCAGGCCAACGGGCCTCGGCCCGGCACCCTCTCTTTGAGGGGAAGACTGTCCGAGCTCGGCCGAGCTGATGTCCTGCCCGCGGTGATCCGCGACTCACAGTCTTCAGCCGGGGCCGAGCGCCAAAGATTCTGTATCATTAAATCTCTAACTGCTATTCTCTTCTCTGTGTGAGTCTCTCCAGATTGAAATGAAGCTTAGGCGTAAATTCAACCTGGGAGACTCGATCCAGCTGACATTCATCTCGCAATCGCCACGTCCTACCTCAACCAATCAGGGCTGGAGCAACTCTCCGCTTTGGGCCTATCATCATCCAGGACCGTCTTCAAAAGCCAAGCTACCAGAGGGTCAACCCGCTCGTCGCTGTGCACAACCCACCTCCTCCCCTCTTCTCCACCTCCGTTCTGATGGATGTTTCCAGAATTCTTCTGCACCCAGCTCCACAACCGGTTCCGGCCCCGGGGAAGACTGTCCGAGCTCGGCCGAGCTGATATCCTGCCCGCGGTGATCCGCGACTCACAGTCTTCAGCCGGGGCCGAGCGCCAAAGATTCTGTATCATTAAATCTCTAACTGCTATTCTCTTCTCTGTGTGAGTCTCTCCAGATTGAAATCTCTATATACACTGAGACTAACCAGTTCTTCTTCCCCAGCAGTTCCTTGTACGAAGCAGCGTTAGCACCGGCGCTCCACAATTCCCACAGACGTATCACACCACAGAGCTGTGTTATTTAGTTACAGGACATGGAGAAATCTTAATCCTGTGTTTAATGATATTCACTTGACCACTTGGAAGAGTTTCTTTTGATTAATGCGCATCGCTCCCCTGCACCACTGTCCATGCTTGACCTTAATGTCAGCTCATTATCGGCTTAATTGAAAGCAGAAAGTCCGAGCTGAATCCCTTGACCATGCACAGCTTTCGGGATGTGTGAGCAAGGTTCTCTGCCGTGAACACACACACACACTCGCACACACACACACACTTATGTCTCGTTAATGAGGGTGCTTCTTCAAACCTCCAACTGTGAGGCAAAGAGGAATTAGTTTGAACAAGTATGCCTGGGTGTGTTTACGTGCATGCAGGCGCGTGTGTGTGTGTGTGTAGGTCTGTGTGTGTGTGTGTGTGTGTGGGGGGGTTGTGTGTGTGTGTGTGAGTGTGTGTTGTGTGAGCTTCAGCTGGGGAAAATAGTACCCACAGCAGGAGTTTACGTATTTATGTACCAAGGCGAAATGTCTGGCAGTGATTAAACCAAATATGATTTAAAGTAAAGGTGTTCCACCCTGGGTTATAATAACTTTTTGTCTGTTTTGTTGTAGTTTAGTTTTATTTTGTTTTGACTTTTTGTTTGCCAAACAGCTTTCCTCCTGATTTGCCTCCTCCTGACTCTGATTGCTTGTTTTGGACAGATAGCAGTTTTAGTCTTTTTCAGACTTTTGGTCAAAAAGTATGAAAAGAATCACATTCGAAAAGGTCAAAGTATTGTGGTTATGCATACATCGATTGAGTAATTAATAGTCAGTAGATGATACCATTTTCAGAAAAGATTTTAAATTATTTTCGAACAACCAACTGACTGGTGTTGCTACCCGACTTTTGCCGCCACCATTTCGCCAACTAGCATAAGCGCCACCAGGGGGAGTATGGAGAGCCGTAATTTGCCGACAGCTGACACAAACTGCAAAAATAAAAATAAAAAAAAAACTATTTCACATCAATTCGAAAGTCTAATATATACATTCATAAACTCAAAAACAAAGGAATTTAGAGATATGATTTTAACATGTTTTAGATAGTTTTCAAAACAAGTTATAGTTCAGTTAGTTCAGTTTTTAATTACCATTTGTTAAAGACAATTTGTTCTAGAGTTCAGTTTTCTTTATTTCGTCCATTTCAGGTAATTTTAGCGACCTGGGTTTTGTTCCATTTCAGCTGCACTGTTGATTCCATTCAACATATAAATTTAGGCAGGCAGGTACAGAGGGAGGGCAAAGGAGTTTTGTTTTTTCTCTTTTTCTCTTAATGTCAGAAGGCCTGTTTGTGCCCCTCAGCAATACTATTTAGCTAAATATAATAACTTATCAAACTAAACTAGTCTGGCTGTCATCAGTCTAATAATGACTCAGTTTCTGCCTCCATGTTGTTCAGACTCCGGGTCCATGGTGAGGAGGAGGGGGTCGGATCTGAGCCCTTTAATTTCAATTTTGAATAGAAAAATGAAAAAAAAAACTACTGAAATGAATGTTTTGAATACACCATTAATTATAAACTGAATATTTAACTATTAAAATCCCTGTTTTAATCCTCAGCATCCTGAAATATACACTTCCAGCGTCCATCATGATTAATCATTTGCCTTAAAGGGTTAATATTTCGAGTCATGCAGAACTGAGCTGACCATTTCCATAGCAACGATCAGAAACAAGACATTCCCCCAGAACTACAGTGAGCTCATTGTAGCTATGACCTCACTGTCTATGTCATAGATCAAATAACATCTGAGGTTATAGATGCTTCCATCTCAGAACATCAGGTAATATACAAGCAGCTCTTTGACCCTCAGCACTGAGTTTTACAAGGATTTTTAGTATGGAAGAGGTTTTAGTCACCAAGTTTTTCCCCTGACTTTTGGCGCTGAATATTTGATCACCACAGGAGTGAGGAAAGTTTTCAACAAACTACTTTCAGGTATCAACTTTGAAAAAAGTAGCTCTCAGGACGAGTGTATTGAATATGATATTTTTGATGCTTATCTTTTCAATCCTTCTCCAGCTGGAGTGAGTTTTCAGAAGACAATGCTCTTGAAGAGACCACTGTAGTAGGGAACGATTTCTCCAATCTTTCTGAAGAACAAACTATCTCAGCTGGGGCAGTTTGTGACTTATCAGGACCTTGTGTGAGTTTTCAGACAAAAGCGGCACTAGAATACCGGACCCGTCAAAAGAGATCTGTCTTTGGGGATGATTTCACCAATCATCGCAAACCTTCCAAAATCTTACCCGGCTGCAACATTTGCTCTGAAGAGGAAAGACGTCGCGCTGAACAGAGCAAACGTTTGCCCAGACATCAATGTAAAAATTCTTGTCCACTGTCCTCGGTAATGATTTTTCCAATCTTCCCAAAGAACAAACATAGACTCAGGGTTATGGATATGGATGGATATGTTAATGAACAGTAAAAAAAACCTGTGTAAAGTGTAAGAAAGTTGTAATTACAACTGTTCTTCCATTTCATCCATCCATTTTCTTCCGGTTTTCTGGGGTGATCCTGGTGGTGATCAAGATGCAGAGCTGTGCACTGACCACCACCTGGTAGTGAGTTGGTTCTGGTCTGGTGGGGGAGGATGCCAGTCTGACCTGGCAGGCCCAAACATGTTGAGGTTCTGCTGGGAACGTCTGACAGAGTCTCCTGTGAGACGGAGCTTTAACTCCCATCTCTGGCAGAACTTTCAACACATTCCAGGGAAGGTGGGGAACATTCCCCGGAATCTCTGAGTGGACCATGTTCCATGTCTCCATTGTGGAGGCAGCTTATCGGAGCTGTGGCCGCAGGGTTGTTGGTGCCTGTCGCTGTGGCAACGCTCAAACTCATGGTGACTGATTTGTAGGCTGATTACATCATAGTGTGGTGACAAAACTCCTTCAAATGCTTCCTTCTTTTCCTCAAATTTGAAGCATGGATCCAGTGTATCCTTCATGGTCCACCATATCCCATGATTCATTGCAGGTCCCAACCAGGCGTTCAGGCAGAGCATCAATGGCGAAGAGTGACAATTTATTTAGCTATTTTACACTTTAAATGATACAATGCGATTTGGTACAATGTTTTAAGGTGAGAATGTAAGTGTGTAAGTCTCAAATATCTGCTCAGTTCATCAATACGTCACTTAATAGCAATATTGCTCTGACATATCTGGACATGTCTGCTGCCGCTGTGTGACCTTTTCAAACTTTGAGCCCCTGCCCTCCAAAGGTCTCTGCATTTAGATTATAAGCCAGTAAACCTAAAAATAATTCAGCAGAGGATGACCCGAACAGAATCCTTTCTCTTTATTTCACTGACCTTCCGGACTTCCGGGAGGCTGTTGTCAAACTTTTTTTTTTTTTTTTTTGTCAGGGTACCAGCAGCCCGGCTCCATTCACGCTGCAATACGGCAGAGGCCACGGCGTATTGTAGGGAAGTGAATAGTATAAGTCATCCAGGGGAGCACAATGCGGCAGCGGCTGGATGACGTGCAGGTGATCACCCTGAACTTTCTCCCATGAAACCCTTTTCTTTTTCCTTTTTCTGTGCACTGACCTTCATAACAATTGCTTTTATGGAGACGCCAAGCTGGGTGTGGAGAGAAACGGTCAGATAAACTCTCCGCTGATAAACCCTCCCAGCTTTTAGTCCAGGCTGCTTTTACACTTTTATGTCATTCTGTAATTTTTGAAATACAATTTTTTTATGCAATTAGTCTTGTAAAGTCAATTTCAATCACAAACGCTGTGTTTTCTGCATATTATCACAGGTGCTGTTGTTTATCTGCTTTGATTTGAAGAAATGAATCGTCATTTAGCCCTGATTTGACCTCCGTCTTGTTCTGCTCGTTAGAGCGTTTTCATACTGCAGGTATCATTGTTTCTCCCACCTGTAATTAGTGAGAACTAAAGTTGACGCTGAGCTTTAATTTTCACTTAAAAGTCTGGGTTAAAACGTTTTAATAACAGAGGTACAGCAGGAAAAGAAAAGAAAAAAAGAGACGTAGTATTAATAACAGGGCTGAGGCTCATTAATTGCAGCACCGGTTCAATTTCAGTTCAGCTTAAGATAAAAATCCATACTAGTTTTTGAAACTTGCGCCGATGAAAACTCGCATGATCAATAGACAGAAAGCAGTTGCAATAACACTGACCTTGTTATTCAGCAGAGCTTCACATTTTCACCCTCCGAAGCTCGTTATTCCCGATGGTTATTGGGACACTTCTGGAAAATAGATGGACTTCTCAGCACGCCGGACCTTCTGAGAGCAGATCTACTGCATCTATGGAAAGTATTCACCCGCTTTTTACTGCTTTTACAAAATCGATCACGGTCAGTAAAATGTAACTTTTTTGATTAAAAAAATAAGAAAAAAAATCCAAAAAAGCTTTTTAAGGCTGCAGTATCTAACTTTTACAAAATATGTTTTTTCTTTCATATTTTTTTCAAATTTTACCATGTTGTAACTATATAGTAGAAGACAGATAATCTGTGAAAAAAATAAATCAAATTTCACCTTCTATTGCGGTCTGCAACAAACAATGCACAGCTCCCGGTCAAAAACAACCAATCAGAGCAAGGAGGAGGGCCTTAGAGCTTTCAATCATTCTCCTGTATGCGGCTCAGTGTGCTAATGGGGGAAAAAACAATGATTGAGAAGAGACGGTGGCCTTATTGATAAACAGGCACACACAGACACAATAACATATTTCCATCTACTCACTCAATGTAAACACTCCGTATACACCCTTCCGATTCCCAGAATTAGTAACGATAAGACCACAGGGGCAAGCAGCCAGCACAGGGTGAAGAGAAGAGCAGCCCATTGGCCCAGACAAAGGCCGGAACCACCTGAACAACACTGGCCCAGACCCCATCCAGACCCCATCCAGAGACTGGGCCAGAAAAAGTCGACACGGTTCGAACAAGGCAGCCAACCAGAGCAGCACCAGAATAAAACAATCCCAACCAATCAAGAAGCTTCAATCTTAACTCCATGAACCTCCCACTCCTCCACTGGATCACCCCCAACCAGCACACAAACATCTACCACAAGCCCCCAACCACAGCTCTGCAAGAGAGCTCTGCCCCCAAAAATCCCAATGACAACACACGTTCACTGCCACACAGCTCTCCACAATGGCCCTGAACTAAACCAGTCCAGCTTTACATGCAAGCACAACAGGTCAGACCACACTGAAACATTGAACCACAAACCCAACACCAGGACAAGATCAACCCTTCTATCAAGCAGCACCCGGGGGCCGAGGGCCCACATGATACTCCAGCTACCGTACAAACCAACATGCATCACTGACACTAACCAGTGCAACCCCCACCAAGCCAATTAACCAAAACGCCAACTTACATCATGCTGCAGTGAAGCTTCTCAGCAACAGGCTCCAGAAAGTTTCGAATGATGAAAAGTAAAACAAATGCAGCAAGACACAGGAACGTCCTGGACGACAATGTACGTCCATCTGCAAGAGAACTACAACTTCAGAGAACATTTATTTCCTAGCAAGACAACACCTTCATGTATCCAGCTACAGACACAGAGAAATGGTTTAAAGACAACAACATGGCCGTTCTGGAACGGCCCAGTCAAAATCCAGACCTCAATTTCATTGTGATTGAGGGATTGTGGTCAGACTTGATTTAAGCTTCAAACTTTGACAGGCAAAAAAGCCAAATGTTGTTGGCCATGATTGATTTATAAAAACAGAAAGGGTCAAACATCCTGGGAGGTTCATACTTTATATAGGCCCTGTATCTTTCCTGAAGCTATGCAACCTGACAGGGCTAAGGTGACAATCTTTGACCTTGTATAGCTCACAGACCTCTACTAGTTGATATGAGGGTTCAAAGCTCAGCCCTGTGGTGTGCTGTCTGTGCAGCTGCACACCAAGCATAAAACAGAGAGCATTTGTAGCCCTGCTGGAGCATAAAGGAGTTTCTTTTTATACATTCACCCTTCTTCCTTCATTTGTGAAGAAATTTGAGCAATATTTCACAGTGAAAAGCGGCCATTTTCCTCACATGGACAGTTTTACAGGGACAAACAGCAGGAGATACAAAGAGATCGAACAAGGAAGGCAACTTGAAAGCTGGAGTGAAATGGCACTGGGAAGGGATTATGGTGATTTAAACCTCTTCTGCCCACACGGCCCCTCCTAGAGGAGAGCGGCAACGTAATGAAGACAGTCCATTAGTCCATCCACTCTTTATTTGACACGGTAGCAGCGATTAGACCCACATCTGTGTGTTCGTACATTAAGCGCATGTCAGAAAATGAAAGGAATCGGTTTGTTTGAGCGTGTGGGTGAGCAGCGTGTGTGTGTCTTAACCGCCTATTGTGTGCGTCTTTCTGCACGATTCTGTGCGTCATCTCTCCATCTCCGTGTCATTTATTTATTTATTTATATATTTTTTGGGAAAGGGGGCTGTTCTTTTTTTCGCTCCCTCCGTCTTGTCTCTTGTCTTAACGGCTTTAGTCAATCGACTGAAACGACAGGCTTCAGCGAGAGCAGGAGAAGGAGGGAAATTAACGACTCCACAGCGCACACACACACACACACACACGCACACACGCACGCGACCTGAGTCTGATTTCATCTTCAAAACGGCAACAAAAAAAAGAAGAAAATTAAACTGTCTCACATTATCTGCTATTTTCCTCACTAAAGTCCCTGCTTCTCTGCCTCTTGTTTCCATCATCTTTGTGTTCTTAATGCTTTGCTGCTCTCGCCCTGAAAGTGGACATTTATTCAGCCGGTAGGAGGGAACAAAAATCAAGTCAGGGCTTCGGGTGGGAGTTGTGGGGAGGGAGGGAATTCACAGGGAGTTGTTCACTCCACTGGTGCCGAAACAAAGGAATTACTGGCACACTGCAGGCTGACACAGTGCTTACAGGGAGCACAAACATTACACCGGACTGACCATCATTACCATTTTGACAACATATTTTCACCTTCGAAAAACAAAACGCTCAGCGGGAAAAACGCCTGGGGCAATTCTGAGGGAGTTTTGGATGTTAACCAATATATTCTCATCCGTCAGAAACAAACTCCGCTCCGGGATACGGCAAATGACGTGAAGCATCCCAGACAGGGAAGGCTGCTCTCATCACTACTACTGCGGGAAGTTTGGGGTCGGAGGAGGACTGCAGCCCCACCTTCTGGTGCAGGATGGACACAGCAACTTAACGAACCAGAAACTTCACAGGCAGAATCAGTCTTTTTAAACACAGAGGTTTTTAATAAAAGCAGAGGCGAACGACTGTTTTTTTGTTTTTTTCCCAACTACAGTGGAAGTAACACAGTTAGCTCTGTCTGGTCCCGCGGCGCATCATGGCGTCTCTCCTGGGATAATGGTGGATTCATTAGTGGGTTATGAATGGCTCAGCCATTTGTGTTTCCGTTTATGAGTTCTTCTTTGAGCTTTTCGTTTAAAGAGTACACTGTTGAAAGGGAATTGTTACTTTTTGTCACCACGCGTTAGCGCCAGCTAGCGATAAAGTAACCCTTGTAAAATCCAATGGACGACTCCATCAAGTGGATTAGTAAGTTCATCAAGAGGCTTCAGTCTCTAGGTACTTTGTTGAAAAAGCTATGAGACAACAGTTACTTTCTGTCTACATGTGTTAGCAATAGCTAGCGCTAACGTAGCTCCCATCTAACTATCAGCGAAATAAATCTTTCACAGTGTGAGGTGGTGGTCAATGTAGAGGCAAAGAGTTGATTTGGTTTTTTAATGAAAGAAATGATTAAAAAAATAAATAAAAATTTCAAAGAACACAAGGCACCAGAGCCAAACAGGAAACACCAGCAGATTACTGGAGGAACCAGCAAAGTGTGAAAGAAGGAGAGGAGGTTAAATACTTGATGCTGAGGAGAGAGAGAAATGGCGGCACAGCGGGCGAAGGAGAGCATACAAACAGGGGACCTAAGAAAATGATTCAACAATAACAAAGAATAATGAAGCACAAGGAATAATTAATCTGCCAGAATAACCAAATTAAGGATTGAACTAAAGTGGAACAGAAACACGGCTGATTGAGTCAATGAATAAGAAACTAAGGAACACAGAAAAACAAATAATCAAAACTGCAAACTCAGAAAAAAACAAAACAATCCTGACAAAATCAGAGGTGAGCAAATCTTTCTGAGCGTCTCATGACTGGTGTTAACAGTTGATTAGCATGGGATGCAGGAGCAGCGGTGTTCAAATGATTAAATATTTGGACATGTTGAATAAATGTATGGTAGCACATAGGGGGGAAACGCAGAGGAAGAAAAAAAGCTGCACAAATGTGCACAAACCTTTATATTCTGCTAGTGTTGAAAAGAGTCATTTTCACAATTGCTGTGTTTCCATCCAGTAAGAAATACAATTGAAATCACACATGGTATGTCATTGAAAAGCCTGGCAGCAACTCGTGCAAACAGTAACATGAGATATAGTCATAATTCAGCCATGGGGCTTAATCTCATCATCTATCAGCCAATCAGAGGAGGCGCCTTATTCAGGCTTTGGAGCAAGAAGATATAAATTAAACATGTTAAAGTAATACACAACTTTTTATGAACTATGTGACGCTGAGAGAATTCTGCGGAAGCTGGCGGCTCATTGTCTGAAAAAAAAACAAAAAAACAATCCATCATCCTCCTACCAGTTTCTGTTGTCTTCTTTGTCATTTCCGCCAGCAGCAATATCCGACTGTTGATCATGACTTGTGATGTGAAAAAGTATGCATTTTTGCATATTAAACCCATTAATTCCAGTGGCAAAAGTTTTATTCGTTTTTTTTTTTTTGTTTGTTTTGTTTTGGGGTTTTTTTAATTGGCACAAATTTATTTTCTTAATTTCAGTTTAAACATTTTTATGTTCAATGGAAACACAGGAGGGTTATTGACCTAAAGTAGAGTAACTTCCTGTGTCATCAAAGAGACATGCAGCTAAATAACAGTTTGATTTGGTTGTTAGTCATAAAAGAAAAATAAACTCAGATTCATGTTAGATAAAAAGCCTTTATCATACAAACTGTATAAAGTGAGCACCGTGTTTGGGGCTAATTTTAGGGCGATGTGTGCACAAAGGAGGATATAGTATATGTGAACGAATAATGAATAGGTTTTCAGACTTTCCCTACAGATGCCTAAGTGTCGATCAAGTGCTGACACTCGATGCATGTTCGCATGTCGCAAGAATGTAACCAATGGAGCACAACATGCTAACCTGATTCTGACTCTACATGTGATGAGAGCGGAGCCATTCTGGATGCCAGAGCGCCGCTCGTTGTGGAGCCGAGAGAGAGAGAGAGAGATAGCCTGGTGGCTTAAATTGATTGCTGGAGACATATGTTGGCAACACTGTATTTC